GAGCTACATCAGGTGTCCATACCTAATAATTATTCCTAAACTTTAGGCACACTTCACATAAAATCTCAATTTTTTTTAAAAGTCTCGTAGGAGAATAAGACTGAAGTATACATTAGAGAGTGAATTACTAATATATAGCACTGAATAATATCAATGCATGATATTGCATAATTTTAGCACAAATATATTTATCTAAAACAATTTTATTAAATTATATAAAAATCAAGTCAATATGTCACATCAAAAATATTATTAATATTAATTAAGTTAAAATAAATACATATTTATATGCATATATTTTGATGTGATTTAAACACTTCAGAAAATTATTCCCCTTCTCAAGAGGATCATTTCGAAACAAATAGCTCATGAAATTATAGTGAAGATGATACAATAATTTGATAAAAAACAAATATTTGATGGGGAGTATAAAAGCGGTCGTCTTGTAGCTCTGAAGTATGGGCAGTGTAGGAAGTTTATTGGTGAGGGTGAGATCTTGTCGAAGTGATTAGGGGTGTCAAAATGGATATTCAGGTTGGGTTCGGGTCGAACTCATAATTAATTCGGGTCCAATTCAACTGACCTTAACTTGACCCCATTTTGTAAACGAGTTAGAAATTAACACCCAGACTCGACTCACTAGGTTACCGAGTTGACCCAACCCAACATGAAAACCACAGGTGCGATAGAGAGCCCAGCACACGAGCAGGACTGCGGGCTAGTGCCGCGTGTGAGTTTACATTTGCGTGAGCGAGATTGCAGGTGCAGGAGTGCGCAAATACTGGACTTCGAGTGAGGGCTATGTGCGTGATAGCATGAGTGCTTGAAGGAACGACTGCGAATGTGGTCGCACGGGAATGTGTGACTAGCAAGGTCTGAAGGGGATTGAAGTCAAACTCAGGTTAATGGGTTGACCTGGACCCGACCCAATTTTTCAAACGGGCAAACAATTGGAACCTGAACCTGACTCGTTTATTATGCGAATTGACCTGAACCCAAAATTTTCAATTTGGATTTGAGTCGGGTTATCGAGTCAGGTTAATAATTGACACCCCTAGAAGCAGTGCCATGATAGGATTTTCAAGTGTGGCTAAGATCGCTGTTGGAGGGCTTATTAGTTTAGTTTTTTTTTTTAATGGATGGGAGGGTGAGTGGGACTCCACCAAGAGCTTCTTGGATTGGATTTAATGTGAGCATAGAAAGATGATGAAATAAGTGTCGATAAAATTAGGATTTGTCAAATGCATCAGAAGCTAAAGAGATACAATTAGGGTTTGAAAAAAAATCAAAAACCCGAAAAAAAGAATCTAAAAAGGATTTCTTTATATGGAGTGTAGGGAGATGGCATAATTGGAAGAAATAAATAACACAACCAACGCTATTTTCATTCATTCCTTACAACATTTATGCATAGGAAAGCACCCACAGATAGAAAATAAATTGCTAAAAATTGAAATTAGAATTTAAATCAAAATGGAGCCAAGTTGGTTATTTGTAATGGAGTGGAGGAGTAGATTACTTACAAATATGGGAAACTATGATGTTGATTCATTTTGTACAAACATGAGATGCTTGAGATATTTTAGTCTTCCTTTGCGTGCCCCAACGGGTCCTTCTTGGATCAAAAGGGGGCAGTTTCCATGAGCGTATTGGTGCGTTAACTTAGGCTTCATTTGAGACAGCTTTCATAATACTATAAAGCTATTTTAAGAAGTAGTAATAAGAAAGCCATCCCATAAGAAGCCTTGGACTTCGAGCTCTGCCGCCTCCAACATTCTTTGGTCCCATGAACAAATTAGGCATTTGGTTTCTCATGCGGTCATCTAAATGAATTGTTCGAAGCCTACATTTCGTGCTTAGCTAAAGTTAGGTCATCCACATAAAAGAAAAACATAAAATACAAGAATAAAACAAAAATAAGAGGAATTGTTTTTAAACTTAAGCCTGCTTCACTTGGGACGGCTTTCTTATTACTTCTTAAAGCGGTTTTCAAATAAAAATAATAAATTTTTTTATTAAAAAATTATTTAAAAAAACTGTAAGAAAACCGTCACAAACAAAGCTTTACTAAAACCTAACCATAATATTTTATTTGTTTGTCATAGATCTACTAATAAGCCTATGCTATGCATGGAGCCTTCTTTGATCATTCGAGATTGAATGTTTGATTGATGGATTCTTCGCATGATCTTGATGCTCCAATCCTAACCCTTGATTTATTGATTGAGAGTGAGTGCATAATTTCCCTATTTCACAACTAATGAAGACTCTTCCTCTATGCTTGAAAATGGACCTTTATTTTGCAATAGAACCCTTGCTTTTCACATAAATTACACACAAATGAGAGCATGCAAATGGCAACAAAGAATATCAACACAATAATTCGATAAAAAACTTAAGCAATTTGCGAGAAGACCCTAAACCCTAACCACCATCTTGAATCAATCAAGTTTATATCTTACAAATGTACCCAACTCAACATTGTCGGGTTTATTTTGGAATCGATCAAGCTAATTTGAGCTCATCCACGAAAGATTCAATAGAACAAAGTCAAATTGGACATTTGCTTTTCCAAAGTATTGAAAGAATCAAGACTTGGGCTTCATTTGGGACAACTTTCTTACACTTTCTAAAACAGTTTTTTAATACGAAAAATTTTTGAACTAAAAATTTTCGTACTAAAAATCTTTATCTTCGAAAATCAAGAATTGGTTTTACTTTATTTCAAGTAATTCATGCTTCATCTATTATGGAGATTCGTGAAGATATTTCCTCCTCAAACTGTCATGGATGGTTTTTTTGAAGAAAAATCTAAAATATCAGACACCCTCTATGTGATTAGCTCTTTATTAGAGCAAATAGTATTTCTAATAAGTTTCAATTGTTTGTCCATCTTAACTTGTATCCTATTTCAATAAAATTTATTCCGAAAATATAAATATTATTTCTTAATTAAAATTATATAATAAACTTAGATGATCTCTTCTGATGAAAAATGGACCGAATTCTATTTCTTAATTAACTTGCATAATAAAAACTAAAAATCTTTGTTATAAAAATTGATTTATAGGTAAAAACTCTAAAAATAAAAATAAAAATAAATAAAAAAGCTCGTAATAAGCTTGAGAAAGAAATTTGTGATGAAAAAAATTTAACTTCTAATAATTTATATACTATATTAGATATTAAAGCGGGCGAAAGATTTTAACAATTCAACTACAAAGCACAAATTCAATATTACTCATGCATAATCCTTTGTATATATGTTGAAGTAAAAGAACACTAAGATGAAATAGACTCGCTAATATGACCAAAATACCTACTACAATATGATAAGAAGATATTCTCCCTATAACAAAAGGATCAAAGCCTTTCGCACCCCACATTAGATGTACATAACATACTTGCCAGTTAGATCATAAAGATCGAACAGCCATGTTCACTGGAAGAGATAATCTAAGGCTTCGTTTAGGACGGCTTTTTTTCTTGCTTCTTAAAACAATTTTTTTGTACAAAAATTTAAATTTTTGTATTAAAAAGCCTTTTTAAGCAGTAAAAAAGTCATCTCAAACGAAGTCTAAATCGATTTTGTCTTAGTTAAAATTTGAGTTTATATTTTAGCTAAAAATAAGGAATGTCTGCCTTTGCAGAAGGCAATAGTAAGAGCTAAAGCATTTTAAGCTTATTTGATATTTAGTTCGATTTCCAAGTGTTTTGAATTTTCTTCTTCGCCTCCCTCCTATAAATTTGCCCCTTTATAAATAAATTCTTTGCTTTCTTTATAGTCTCGTATATATGTGTGTAACTGATGAAGTACTAGCATGTGAAGACTTGCATTATGAAATTAAACACGGGTTAAATTTAAAATCAGCAAGCCATTAATCATGAGAATGCGTAAAATAAGCTTCAAAACAAGTAAGAAAGACAATCCACAAATATCAATTAACCACAATCAAAGTTATAGAATTCAAGAAGGATAAATCAAGTCAATAACTTAGCTAATATGGGTTGGCAAAAAGATCCAACATTTAACATAGATTAGTCACTACAAGAACCATGCACTCAATGATTTAAGAAGCTAGCGGATTTAAATTAATATAAAAATATATAGTGATGCCATAAAGAATTGGACTTCAAACATATCTACTTAAATGTATGAAGTAAGAGTAGAAAGACTTAAGTATTTGCGTCGCGGGGAAGCTTTCTTCAGATGAGATGTGGTATTGGCCGGTTGATCTTCAAAGGGTTGCACCGTAGTGCCTTCCTTGTGTCTTGATTCACAATGGAGAAGACGAGATGCTGACCGAAATTTGAAAGGAGGGAGGCTACAATTTTTGCTATTTGGGTGAGATTAGGAATGGTGTGAGATTAATTAGAGTGGGATTGGAAAATGAAAAAAAAAAAGTTTTAAGAAAAGGAAAAGTTAAAGTGAACTTTACAACTAAACTTCTCATTAATTAATATGAAGAGTTCCAAGAGTGGGCCAATCATGGGGAAAGGAAAGGGGTTGTGGCTTTTCCAATTCCCAAAATAATTTTAAAAATGAAAATAAGGTGAGGCAATTAATGAGTCAAATTCCCATTAATTATCATGAAGAGTTCCAAGAGATAAGTGGGTTCCAATTGGAATACCAAAGGTCAAAATTTATATTTGGAAATTTTTGGATTGGGAACTTGGATGGGGAGTTGGCAGTGGTGGGCTTGCCGTGGCCAGTGGAAAGAGAAGGGGTGGCTGGTCGAGAAAGGGAGGGGAAGAGGGGTTAACCGGCAGTTAGGGAAGAAGGAGGGAAAAGGGAAGAGATACAAGGGGAAAATCAAGAGCTCACTTTGATGGACCGTTGGATACTTCATTTGTCTTCTTCTAAGGCATCACCACTCCACCACACTCACTTTCACACAAAAGAAGAGGGATGAAATAAGAATTCATTCAAAAATAAGCATCCTCCTTACAAGGGGGGGAGAGAGCCATATATATAGGCTCCACCACATGACAAGACAAAAGACACAAATGCCATTGGGCTTACAACATAACATTAAGGAAAAATTCACAAATGCCCTTAGGCTTACAACATAACATTAAGAAAAAGTTCACAAACTAAATTAAATCACATACAACACACACAACAACTAATAATATAGCGACTCAATCGTGGCCGTCGATCTACAGTCATTTCTATGATAAACCTTCTATGCATTGATGTCCCCATCAGTAACGCAACATACTCATAAGTTGGTAAATATAACAATTTCAGGAGCAAATTTTTATATTTCAGACAAAGGTAAGGAAAATCTCTCTTGCAGTAAAAGGTGATTAGTCTCTGTAGTAACTTTGGGGTGGGGACAACCTATAACCTTTCCAAAATTGCTTCTTTAGATGGTGAATGCAGTTTTCTCTAATGCTTCCTAAATTTTCACGAGTATAGTGAAGAATATGTCAATTATGAAACATAAAAGAGGTAGGAGAAGCAACAATACCTCCCCTCCAACGGTTCCAAGAAAATGGAGTTCAAAATACTCATCTTGCATAACTCTGCACGAGAAGTAAAACAAAAAATTTCAAGCCAAAAAATGATATAGTCTACACCAGCTAATGCATTGCAAAATTAGTCGGTAAAATTTTTTTATTTATTTTTTTTAAATTTGTAGGTAAAATTGCATGCATAGGTCCTTAAACTTAGGTTATACATGATAGTTTGATAAAATAAATTTTTACCTCAAAATAGAGTCAATGTGCCACCTTATTTGATCTTCTGTGATTGATCCAAAGGAAAAATTCGCTGTTTCATATCAGTTCTCACCACGGGTATGATTCCACCCCAAACCAGCATAGCCTTTATTACCAGCAGGACATAGGGGTTCTAAAATGCCCTTGTTGGAGCTTCCCAGAGACTCGCCCTAAGCAAATTAAAGAACAATTATGAAGCGAAACTCGAAAGAATAAGCTAAATTATCATATGCAAATAAAAAGTGGCTGAAAACCCAACTTAGCTTCTAGATATTTCCATATCACGCCAAATCATTCTATAAAGTATGGTAAGAAAGACACGTACATGAGGTGGAGAGATTATTCAGTGCGGACATCGAACACAAGTTACCGTCCAGAGATGAATCAGGTGTAGCCACGTCATCCAGTACCGAGCCGCAGTACCGAGTAGGGGTGACGTGGTGCATTTTCATTGGGCTCTGGACGGCGTTCGGCATCCACACAGAATAATTCATCCCACAAAAGGCTACCCATGGAGTCATTGAGACAAACCTTAATTTCCATTGTTTAGTTTTCTGAACAAGAAGACTGGCTATTGATGGCTGTCAATCTGAATTCCGTAAAAGGAGTTCCTGAGCCATAATCTTCTTAAAACTTAAGATGGGCTCTATATGACATTAGTCATGCGGATCTTTGAGATATTAAAGTAATGATGCAGGGAATATTGGTTTTAATCAAAACTATATATCCATCAAACAGAAAAAAGCTTGACAAAAAAACTGCTCTGCATACCTCTGATTGATATTTTATCACAAAATTTATTTGAGATAAAATTACTTTGAACAAGAACTGTCCCAGACTAACATTTTCTCAATAGTGAATCTTTAAAGGTTTTACGCAAAGGCTGCCTTGAGACTAGATACGGAAAAGAACAGTAATGCAAAGTATAGTAATTCTAGTCTGATCTAGTGAAATACAAGGCTAACATAATTAAGTTTATGAGAGTTTCCGCATAAGATCAGTATATATAAATTGCAGTTAGTGAATAGATGCTTACATGTTTCCATCCCATGCCTTCAAGAATTTTTCTAGCATAACTTCCGGGGCCAAAGGAGGCATTTATAGCTTCATTTAGAACCCCATCTGTCTCAGGAGTTTGGGGTTCTTCTGAAATACAATTTTCATCGAGGAAACTCTTCTGTCCTAAACCTGTACCGAAACCACCATGTAATGCTCTCCTCTCAGCGGCTCTGTCTCTGTATTCTGAACTTGTTTTCTGTGATTGGAATATGATAATTACTGTGTGAATAAGGGCGAGGCGATCAAAATTACTTTGGCAACATATGTAATGGAGTTGAAGAATGAGTTCTCATAGACAAGGCAAGGTGGATACTCAAATGAAGCAATAATATATATATATATATATATATATATATATAT